TGGAGCATGTGCATGTAAATTTTGGTGCAAATCCGTTTAAAATTGCGGCCGTGCATTCATTACACACACACACACACACACACACACACATCCTGCTTTTATAGATAGAGATATTATTACTTGTGTTATTAATAGATATCTCTCATGAATTGAAAAAAATGCATATAGTTTGGTTAAAAATTCTTAATTATGTGCTTTTTTTTTTTTTTTTTTTAAATTTTATAAAATTGTTTTTTATGGATTAAATTTTTTTGGAGTTATATAATTCATGAATCTAAATTTAAAATAGCAAAATGTAGCTAACAAGAAGAGAAAGAGCATTGTTCAAAATAAAAATTATGACTTCTATTACATTCACAATAAATCTAGCATAAAATCATTTTGGAGGTACTTAGGTAAAAATAATTATTTACTAAATTTAGCATCATATGGCACAAGGCCAATTTAAGGGAAAATTGCTTTGAAGTCTTCTTTGCCTTGGGAATCAGTATTCAAAATCTTGGTTTTTACTGACTACCAAGTATTTTTAATATATCTCTTGTCGGGTTTTTATCATTAAAAAAAGTCATAAAAGTAGAAAGTTTTCATTGTGTGTTTATAACTGTTTTATTTTTAATAAAAATCAACTGATATGCATAAGAAATAATAAATGTAATATATATATGAATGTATTAAAATATTTTAATAATTTAAATAAGTATGAAATATCTTAACATAGTCTGAAGCATTTTAAAATAAGGTACAAAGTTATGCAAGCATTAATTCCTTATTAGATTACCAAAGTAATTATGCAGATTTCCTTTGTGCAAGATGGTGCCATCTTGTAAAAGAATAACACACAGTTATCTCATTTGTGGCAATAAGCATATGAAACTCAGATGATGCAATAAGAGGAAATATTTAACTACTTCAGTCACCAAACTGGCATACCCATGCAGGAATCAACTTGTGTGCTTGTTAAAACAACACATTAAACCCTACTTAGGTAACTCTTATATAGTATGAATATAAAAGAGATTTATACTTGGATGGGCAAAACAAAATGACAGTTTTGATTTTGCTAGGATCCATCACCAGAATCACAAACGACTAATTTTGGAGATTATTTTCACAGCATGAGAATTGCAAGATATTCTTTCATCCATCAAATTCTAGCTGCTGCTGTTTCCATCAATTGTTGATCATTCCAAGAGTTGATTGGACTATTTAATTCATTCTTTGTGTTGCTTTTATTGTTACCACAAAGAAAACATCTACTTAAACATCTATGGTTGATCACTACTTGGAAAGTTGATGTTAAAATGATTGTTTTAATGTTGTTTTATTTTTAATATTTCCTTTTCTAAAAGAAATACTTTTTTCTTAAGCCAACATACTTGACTAGAATTTTTTTTTTAAATTAAAAGAAAATGGTTAAATTCAAAAATCTATCATTTAAAATATGTAATACATAAATTAACTTCTCAAACTAGAATAATATAAATAATAATTACACTATAAGAAAAAAAATTTAAGATAACAACCTTTACCCACTTTCATTTATTAGACATTAAATTACATCACATAGCATCCCCTATAATTTAATTTGATTTTCAGTTAGCCTGATGTATGTTTATGAGTGTTTTTAAATTTAAAAATTCTGAAAATCTAGCAACATTTTTACTTCTGTGTATAAATACTTGTAAAATAAAATCCTTACATTTGTCTTCATAAAGTCCATGAGAGAACAAAACATATTGGCTAAGATAAATTTTCCTTTTGTCTTTATATATTACACATATATATATATATATATATATATATATATATATATATATATATATATATATATATATATATATATATATATATATATAATATGGAATCATAATAAATGATAACCTAACATCCCCAAGCTTGGTTAAAAAAAATGTATACTAACTTGAATAATTCAGTATGCAAAATGGAAATCCAATAATTTTCACAAGCCCTTAAATGTGTCTGAAAATTATGATTTTGTTTACATTGAATTTCTAAATCTTCAGACAGTGCTATTCAAATGAAAATTCATTTTCATGCACAATATCCTAAAATCTACTAATTTGACCAACCCATTCACAGCTATGAGTGAAGCAGGCAATTTCAAATTGACTGGACTAACTATACACAACAACATTTATAATTCAATTAATTCCATATTTTATGCATAAAGTTGCTCTCCGCTTTTTTCTTTACTAAGAAATCTATACTGGCAAGATTTATATATTTGTTAGCCTAATGTTTAAAATTTTTCCAATTTTCTTATCATCCAGCAATGCCCATATATATTGGAGTTTATCACAGAAAGGGTAGAATATTTCCTTCTACATCCAGATATGGTCTGTCATATCAGACTTTTTTTTTTAATTTTACCTTCAGGTACATCTTTTCTATTTTTTTTTTAAATTTGATTTTCAGGAGTCAGCTGGTTTCTCATTTATATACTTTACCACATTTGTATTGTATGTTACATAATATTTTGACATTCCTTTTCTTATGAAGGATCAGCTTTTGCAAGAAGGTTGTGAAAAGTGGTTGTGCTTTTGAAAACCCACTTTGATGTGATGTTTACAAATCTTAGATTTATTTAGTTACTTCTCTTATATATTGTAGACTTACAGTAAATATATCGTTGGTGGCCCCCAAATTTTTCCTACTATTTATTATTCCAGAATTTATATGTGACATTTGTTTATTTATCACTGCTTATGGATACTTATATACTCTTCTTCTTGGGATCACTGCTGAACTTTATTTTACATTGAAGGCTAAAAACTATCTTTTTAACATGATTTAAAGTAAATGTTATCTATAAACTCATGCGGCACAAAGCCAAAAGTATTGGGCACCCAGTGAGGATTGAACTCACTATTCAGTCATAATTAAATAAATAAGACAAGCTTTCTAGCCATTACACCACGTCAAAGTGCCCATTCTATAACCTTGTGTGTATGTTTTCTATACACACAAGTTCTCTGTATGATGAAGACATCTAAATAAAGAAATTTGTTCTTGTTTTTTTTTCCTTTATGAATTGTAAAAGGTTGTACATATTCCAGGTCAAAATATAATGGTATCATCCATATATCTAAGCCAGGTCAAAGATTCCAACAGAGCTGTTTTTAAGGCAATTTTTCCCAAAAAAATTTCATATCATTGTTAGAATTTCTCGAGTGAAATGTTAAACTCCATAGCTAAACCACCTTCTTGTTGATATATATATCAGATGTCAACTGACACACATAAAACATTCAAAAATTATTCACTGAAATGTGAGTAAGGTTCTTCAAGAATCATTTTTCAGTTTGTTTTGCATAATCAGCAAATGTAGTAGAATGGATCAGCTGAAATTTTATGACAACAGCAAAATCAACAAAAAGAATGAGTTCTATCAGCTGAATAAATTTTGGATTGATAAATGACCCACCTTAAAATTACAGAAGCTAACCATCGATTAGTTTGCAATTATGTGTAAAAGCCAAAACAGTCAGCTAAAAAATGTGATAAGATTACCACACCTTTAAAAGTCATGAACAATTTAAATTTGATGTAATTAAGTTGAGACATTTAACTGTTTTATGTTAAATAAAATTATTGAAAACTAGCTGATTATTATTGATTCTATCAATTGATAATGTCCATTTGTTTAGAGAGTTGTATGGTGACAAAGTTGAAGTCTATAGGTAGAGAGCCAATATTCGGCAGCAGAGTTTGTATGGAGGTTAACTCTCCAGCACAGATCAATATTAATTATTTTATTTTTAAATAACTATTTATACCATGTAGAAGTCACAGACACCCAAATCAACAAAACTAGTTTTAGTGAAAAGATTTAAGTCTTAGTCCATAGATTGCAAAAAAGAACCTTCAATTAAATAGCCTCAATATCCCTATTCAATATTTTTATTGAATATTATTATTTTAGCAGATAAGAAAAAAGAGGAAAAGTGTAATACTATTTGAATCAATGTGCTTGAATAAATTTCAGAAAATATTTCAGTACTTGTAACAGTAAGACTAAAATTGTACTTATTTTCCAGGTTTAAAACTAGAAGAAATCTTTTGTTTTAAGGCTTTTTCTTTTCATTAATTAGTATAAAGTACAGCAAATAAGACCTTTTTTATGACCCATTCCCTATTTTATTGCATTTCTTAAGATCAGGATCACAAGTCCTGTAGCCCATTAGGGTCATAGGAGCACTACATGTACTGTAGCCATAGCCTGATGGGCCCCGCCTGCTTTGAATTCAGTTTTTCCTTCTCATAGACTGGTTGCCAACCAAGGCTGTAGGGCCTAATCTGTCCTGCTATTTACAGATTGCTAATGGGAGAGGAGATGAATTCATATCTTTCCCAAGAGTATTTGTAAGTGAATGTAAAGAAATTGAACTTGGCTCTCCAATTTTTCATTACCTCACCATGCATCTAATACTTTTTGTAGATTGATCTAAAATTGTTAACACATTTAGTTATGGATGTGAAAATGAAGCTTTAAAAACCAGTCTGACTGTAATCCAATATCCTTACTTCCACAAAAATATCAATTATTAATTCTTAGTTTCCTCTACTATGTGATACCATACTTTGTTGTATGTTTATTTCTCATATGGAGAAAGCAAGGAAATTTAATGGTATCCTTAGTTTAATTAGCTTCTGTTAAGGAGTCACACAAATTTACATAACCATTCACATTTTACTTTCTCCCAAAATTTCATGGAATTGAGATAAGCACTGGAAATTCCTTACTGAATGTTGAGAGTTATACTGGATTGTTTATTAAGGAGATTTACTGGAAAATTGTCAGTTTCTAATTGTTTTCTGTGTTGTTGCAAATTATAGGAAAATTAATGTTTGTTCTTTTGTGATTTTCAAATGTAAACAAAAATATAGATACAAATATTTTCCTTTTAAGCTTTGGTATAAATTAACAATGTTCACCTTTATTTGTTTTTCATAGGTAACAACAAATCTTCAGAGTCATCATGGATTATATTCATAAGTTTGATATTGAACTTGATAGAGATATCTATTATGCAGGTGAGAAACTCACTGGCCATGTTGTTGTGGTAAACACTGAAAATCTTAAAGTTCAAGGTAAGTATATAGCATAATCATTTTTCACTGATTACTGTTAGATTTTAGGATTTAAATGTTTTTTTTTGCTTGTTCTACATTAAAAATGAAACTGTTATCAAGTTCAATTTTCTTGTATATGGTGGGGAAGTGAAACTTAAAAATTGTTCTAACCTATGGAACTCACATGTTAATATGCAATATTAATAAAATACATAATATATATGGTTTTCCATTATTTTCAGTTACAACTTTAACACAACCTGTAATGCTACAAACCACAATGTCCTGGGACATCTTAAATTTGTTCTTGAGGGTACTAAAATGCCCCACACAGCATAGTTCATTAGCCAGAAATCAGCAAAATCTTGACTGAGTTAATGAGATCAGATACTGGGTTCACACATACTTGTCCACTGAGGAGTTGGTCATGAGCCATGGTGAAACATGGTATCTAGGGAACATGTAGACATCAACACCCATCTTTTCTTTTTTGTTTGTAGAAAAATAGTAATATATTTTTCTCTTGAAACTAAAATTCATTAAAAAAATGAAACTGTTATCAAGTTCAATTTTCTTGTATATGGTGGGGAAGTGAAACTTAAAAATTGTTCTGACCTATGGAACTCACATGCATAATATGCAATATTAATAAAATACATAATATCATATATTTTATTCCATTATTTTCAGTTACAACTTTAACACAACCTGTAATGCTACACCTCTTAACCACAATGTCCTGGGACATCTTAGCCCACATCTACTTGATGACAGTCTTGAGGGTACTCCAAAATGCCCCACACAGCATAGTTCATTAGCCAGAAATCAGCAAAATCTTGACTGAGTTAATGAGATCAGCATACTGGGTTCACACATACTTGTCCACTGAGGAGTTGGTCATGAGCCATGGTGAAACATGGTATCTCGGGAACATGTAGACATCAACACCCATCTTTTCTTTTAGTTTGTAGAAAAATAGTAATATATTTTTCTCTTGAAACTAAAATTCATTAAAAATGAAACTGTTATCAAGTTCAATTTTCTTGTATATGGTGGGGAAGTGAAACTTAAAAATTGTTCTGACCTATGGAACTCACATGCATAATATGCAATATTAATAAAATACATAATATATATTTTATTCCATTATTTTCAGTTACAACTTTAACACAACCTGTAATGCTACACCTCTTAACCACAATGTCCTGGGACATCTTAGCCCACATCTACTTGATGACAGTCTTGAGGGTACTCCAAAATGCCCCACACAGCATAGTTCATTAGCCAGAAATCAGCAAAATTACCTTTGTAGAATCTCTGTAGCTTCTTGACTGAGTTAATGAGATCAGCATACTGGGTTCACACATACTTGTCCACTGAGGAGTTGGTCATGAGCCATGGTGAAACATGGTATCTCGGGAACATGTAGACATCAACACCCATCTTTTCTTTTAGTTTGTAGAAAAATAGTAATATATTTTTCTCTTGGAGGCCATAAAACCCAAGAGCATGATCTGAACTGGATGCTTGGTCTTGGGGTGCCTTTAACATCACCCTTTGACTCTACAATTACAGGAGTCATATTGGTGATTCAAAACAGTGTCCACTGTGAAGATTTTCTTAGAAGATGTTTTAACAGTGGACTCGTATTTTTTTGTGGTACCTGAGCACTTTCTTGCACCTTTCCGGGCTTTAAAGGATTCTATGAGGTACCTTAGCCTCTTGGTGCATGATTTAAAGCACAGGTCATCATACATAGCCATTCTAACAGTCTTGGAGTTCACTTTTAGTTCATCAACTATCTTATAAAAAATGTTGTTAGGTCTTTTGCAATTTTGGTTTTGAGGGTGTTAATGAAACCCTGATTTCACTTCTTGTGGACTCTGCTGCTATCTGGCTTCTGCTGGATGCCGTTGCCCATATCTGTGGTCTTCTTGTCATTGTAGAAATTCACAAAGATCCATCAGTTATGTTGGGGATGCTTTCAGGGTTGATTTGCATTGAAACAAATATGACACTTGCTTTTTGTCCTGTCAGAATATTTTCCCATGATATTCTTGGAAAATAGGTGTGAATTAATAGCTAATGGTAAAAACATTGTTCTGATTTCATTTGTAGTAGTTGATAGGAAATTTGTTTTTTCAAATTTTGCTATTAATAAAATTTGGTATGCTAATTTAAAATTAAAGAATTAAGATAAATTGACATTAAACAATAGACAGAGACATGTATCCTGTACACTGAAATTGAATTAAATGGGTCAAATATTTCTGCTTTAGTTTCTTGTAAACTGAAGTGATACAAAAATCTGTTCTTTGATTTATTGATTATTATCAGTTTTTTAAAAATTTTCTTTGAGGATGTCCTCTTCTCTAAAAGATTAAATCAATTTTGGTAACATTTTTTTCATTGAAGCTTTTCAAATGGAAAAGATATAATTAGTAGTATACAGTTAATATTCTCTTCTTCATTGCATTTGGGAACCAGATATTCTGAGGCAAATGATGAAATGGCAGACAGAAAATGGTAATGGTGAGATTAGCCATTTCCTGATAATGAAACATTTGGTATTCATTGACACTTAGTATTACTGTTACTTGAATTTTATAAAATCTTTCTCTCAAAAGAGTTTTTCAGAAAAATAGGTTTCTCAAGTTCACTGGTATTACTCTTACTAGCATTGATGGAGGTTTCCTTCCTAGCTTTTTGTTTGACATAGTGAGAAAAGTCAGTATTTTGATTTTGCCATTATTTTCTATTCTAGTTATATGTGGTATCCATTTTAATTGTTGTTGCTGGTGAAAGCCTTCAAGTGTTCACGGTTTCTGTTATTTGATAGAGTTCTTTAAAGAGTTTTTTAATTGATTTCTATAAATTCTTTTTTGGTCAAAAAGGATACTTTTAATTGACATATGTATGATGGGTATTGATAAGTTCTAAACCAAACCTATTTCCAAAATTTGACCAAATGACTAAACATCCAAATGTTTTTGAAGGACTTCTTGGTCAAACTTAAAACTATTTAGAACTTTCTCATGTATACATTGAAGGAACAACTAAACTAAGATGAACAAAAAGATTCATCAACAAAATATTCAGTTTTTAATTTGCAAATGAATAATTTTTATTGAATTTTATTATCAATTGACAGAATTTTGAGTATTAGAAGCTACTGAAAAATTCTTGGAAACAATGCAGTTTTTAGCTTGTATTGCAAGTATTGGAATTTTTGTTAATATTAGTTGTTGAAATGTTTTTGACCTGACCCACTTTCCAAAATCTTACCAAAAGACCAAACATCAGAAAAATATTTTTTTAATTAGTTCTTGGTTTGACCAAATCTTTTCAGCACCCTCTCATACTTCTTTTGCAATTTAATTATAATCTTGTTTCACATATTTCTTGACTGATTTTTTTTATTTTAATTCTTCAAATTTTAAATATTCTTATAATAAGTAAACTCTATAAAAAGGTGTTGGTGCACTCATTAGTTCTTAGGTTCTCTGTTGAGCAAAAGTGAGAATAAGTAATAAAATTAAACACAAAAACACATTTTGGTCCATAAGGTCTTGATAATTTATGGTAAATCTTGAATTGGCTAATGAGAGTAATGGTGAAAGAGAAAGAGTTGACTGTATCTAGTTAAATATAATTAGTATTGATTTTCATTTGTCATGATTAACAATGGATAAATCAGATACAAAATATTATTGCCTGGACATTTAATTATGGAGATAGTGAATTCATTCATATATTCAGTTACACCTTCTCTTGCATTATTTTGTCCTTTTTCTAAGGGAAGTCACACAATATTACTAGGAGTAAGGGGGATTTGAACCTTGTTTGCTAGTTGCATCTTCAAAGGAATGAAAACTGTCTATTTGATACTGCTAACTAAATTTCTTGTAGATATATCTTAAAATATGAATTATTTCCTTTATTAATCCAAAATATTAATTGGTGATAACATTTTACATTTGTATCTGAATTCTGTGTTGCCCAAGAAGTGTAATACTTGTCTCAAGTAATTACTTTTTTCTATTGTAGAAACATTTCTGTCTTTCTCTTTTGAATCCAAGATAATTTTAACATCAGCTTCACATCTGTTTACTTTCACCTTAACAAAGTTGTTCACTTTTTCTCATGCTATGAGATCCATTGGATTGGGGAATAAGTCGTGAACGTTTTTCAAAATGTTTTATTGTCATGGTCATACAATGTTAAATTACATAAAATTAGTCAACAATATAAAATCTCTGTTGCTGTTGATGATTTTTTCCCATTGGTCACAAATTTTTCTATTCCTTGACAATGAAAATCTCCTGGTTTTGAGCTGAAAAATTTGTCCAACCAAACCTTCAATTCAACATCAGTATTGAATGTTACACCATGTAAGTCATTGAAAAGAGATCGAAAAAGATGAAAATCTGATGGTGTCAAGTCTGACAAGTATGGAAGATGAGGCAACACTTACCATCCAAATTCTTAAATAATGGTTTGGTGATATTGGTGATATGAGGATGGGCATTGTCGTGTTGAAGAAGAACACTCTGTCATCAATTTGGTCTTTTCTGCTGAATTGCTTCATGGAGATGGTGCAGTTGTTGAACATAGAGCTCGGCATTTACTGTTTGGTTTCAATCAAGCAATTCATAATGAATTATGCCTTCCCAGTCCCAACATTCACACAATATGGTCTTTCAAGGATGAAGGTCTTGTTTTGCTTGAGGTGTTTGCTTATTGGGGCTGACCATTCTTTATGCTGTTTCATATTGATGTAAAGACACCATTTTTCATTGCCAGTGACAATGTGATAAAGGAAACAGTGTTTATGACCGTATGTTAAGCAATGTTGAACTAGCAAACTGGCTGTAATTGTTGCATGCTGATTCTTGTTGTGGTCATTCAACCCATGAACCAAGTTTCTGAACCTTCCCCGTTGAATGAAGGTGATTTACAACAGTTTTGTGATGCAATTCATCTGTTCTGCCAATTCTCTTGTCGTCTGATGTGGATTT